AGATGTGTATAAGAGACAGTCGTAAAACAGACTTAAAGTTATTAAAATGATCAATAGAATCATAGTGAAGCAAAAACTTGGCCATTATGTAAAATTTTTTCTTTTTTTAAAATGATTAGTATCTCGATAACTATTGCAAAGATCGCAAAATGGTAGAGGATTTTTTTGCTCAGTTTGGTCCACAAGCGCTGTTCCATTGAGTACGAGACACCCTGTATATACTATATATAATTTGCTATATTTAAATATATGTAAAAAATGCGTATTTAGAAAAAAATTATTTAAATACATTATTTAAAAATGCGTATTTAAATACATTATTTAATACATTATTTTAAAATGCGTATTTAAAAAAAAATTATTTAAATACACTACATACAAAAATTGCATCTAAAAAATTAATTATAAAAAATTATTACTTGAATATTTTATTTGTATATATTTAAATTACTGCTACAATTAGCATATATTAGCATGTATTTTGCTTTAAAAGAGCATCTTTTTACATTACCGCATTAATCTCGAATTTTCTTCGCATTAAAAATAATTATAATACGTCTACAATGCTTTTTCAAATCACATACACACATACACATACACACAAATCTCTAACCGCTTGAAATAATAGATACTTTGAAAGCACGTCGCTGGTTCGTCGCTGTTGTCACCACAGTGATCGAAACCATCACAATTGAGCTGGCTTGGAATGCACCTGTGATTCTGGCACAGGAAATCAGTGCCCGCAAAACAATCTGCAACGTATAATCCAAAGACAAACGAAACGTGTGACGAAACAAATTAGATACTGGAATGAGGTAATCGCACTTTGCATCTCGAGGATAGACTTACCCATGTAACTGAAGGCCGCATACGCGATCGCCAAGTGAGAACTTGACCCGAATGTACCACGAAGACTTACGTGAAACCCGCTGGTGACTGGCGCGATGTGTTCCCTGTGTCTTGGCGGTTGTAATTGACTTGCCGGATGCCGAATAACTTCCAGTGACATCAAGGCCGAAGTCGGACCCTCCTTGATGATCAACTCCGTATTGCCGGCTGAAAAACAATTGTGCTATAACAGCTCGATTGGCTGCACTTATAGAAAAGTGCCGATTCTGCCTACTCTTCATAATCGCCCATGCCGAGTCATACTTCTGTCATAATTCCATGTGATTACTAGAGGTGTGCGAATAGTTTGAATTCGAATCAAATCGAATCGAATTACAGTAGATTCGATTCGAGTTCGTTTTCGAATCTGCAAAATTCGAAATCGAGAATTTCGAATCAACAATGATCGATTTCGAATCAATCGCCTATTTTATTTGGTTTATTTACAATAATTTACATCTCTCGCGCAACCAATTATTCTTATCTAATAAATAAGTATTTTTGATACATGTAATGTATTTATACAGATTAATAAAATATTCGAAAGCATTCTAACTATTCGTGTATAGACATTATTAATATTTTCTAGTAGTCAAAATGTCATATAAGATCATGATCCTTTGTAATGAAACGTAAATCGAAAACGTAAATCGAAAACAGGTCTTCAATTTATTTAAATCATTGCGTAAAATAATGTAAATCATAAATTTTGATATTTATTACGTTTAAATTAACATGTAATGTTAATCTGAAAAAATTTGATTCAGATTTGATTCGTATTCGAATCAAAGAGATTCGATTCGATTCGATTCAATTTCGAACATGTTATAAAAAATTCGATTCGATTCGATTCGACCATGCAAATGCTTGATTCGCACACCTCTAGTGATTACATCATGAAACTAGACCAATTTAAATTGATTGATAGAAATTTGGAAGGGAAAAAAACCAAAACGGAATTTTATATTTTATTTCCAGGGTTGGGTAGTAACCAGTTAAAAAGTTAAAAGTTAATAACTTTTAAGGTAACTTAAGGTAAAGTTAATTTTAAACGAGTTAACTGTTGATTTTAATTAGTTATTTGTAAACATATATAAACTTTAACTTATTAACTTTTTCCTAAATTAAAAATTTCTCTATTTAAAAAAAACATTTTCATATAAAAACAATATTTTGTTATGTTATATATTAATTATCTTTATAAATATCTTAATTTAGAAATAAAATATTAAATTCATTTAATAATTTATATTGTAAATGTAAATTTTTTATTTAGAGCACTCTCGATCATTTTAAAAAATTACAACATTCTAATTTAATCTAAATTACTCTAAATGATGTTTTTCAAAATTAACTTTTAATTTAACTCAAGTTAATTTAATCTTAACGCAGCTTCTAACTGAGTTAGTTTTTTGTTCATGCAACTTTTAATTTAACTAAATTAATTTTATAAGTCATTAACTTTAAAAAATTTAGTTTTAAAAAATCATTAAATTACCCAACCCGGTTTATTTTCTATCACTTTTGTCATAAATTTTTTCTACTTTGCTTGTTTTCTATTTATGGCATTGAAATGCAATCGAAACTTTTTATTTTGTTAGGCATTTTAATGAAATACTTTATTTTATATTGCAACGTACCCATGTCAGCGAAACCCACTACTTTCAAATACATGTGCGTCTTCATATGCATAAAATTCTTGGGTGGTCTAATTAACCAAACGCAATCGTAGATCTTCACGCCTCGACCGACCATGTTCATCATTGTGATGGTGCCGCCCAGATTTTCCACATATCCACCGCAGTCGGTGATCGGTTGTACCGATTTGTCATACGTGTGACCAATGACGAAGGAGTAAAAGGCCTTGTAACCAAGACCTGTACCACCATTCGCGTAGAATCTTATCAGCAACGACGAGCCGGAACTCACTATGACCGGCGGCCGAAATCGCGCGCCGCTACTCACGTCTAAACGTTGTCCGTTCCAATCGTAAAACTGACATGGTGAATGGTAGACATGCAAATGTTAAATTGTAGCGATATATAAAACTCTTCAAGAAATTAATCAAATACGTATTACAGGCCCTATATTTCCAATTTATTATAAAATTCATTATAAAATTTATTATCCAATTTATTATAAAATCCTTGAAAGTTCAAAACAAAATCGTAACCATTCTATGTCATAAAATTGTTCAAACGAACCAAAAATTAAAAATATATAAAAGACTTCAATATTTCAATATTTCAATATTTAAAAGATTTCAATATTTTAATCTGTATTTACAAACTACACTGATTTGATTTTTTTTTATAAAACGCTAAAGATTATTTCGCAATGAAGGTATCGAAATAAAAGTATCGAGAATAATCGACTCATTGACACCGAATCATTTCACTAAAGTTTTTCGGATTGCTAAAACTAATTATACGAAATAATTAGAAATGCACCTCCATTATGGAAACCGTCGCTAACTGAAAGTCACTAAACAACAACCTGATGCGACAGGAGGGGGCTTCACTGGGACACGTTATGATATATTCCAAACCCAAATCACGGGGATATCGAGCCGGAAAAAATGGCGAAGTCAGAATACCACCGGTGGTATCGTTGAAACCCTTTGTTGGCGCTCTCGATGTCATTTCTGTCCCTTTCAAATGCAGTCTATTTCCTGCGGAATGAAAAAGTCGATTCCAGAATACCTGTCCGTACTGCGGCCACGATGACATTTCGATTTAAAAATTTATTTACATATCGCCACGCAAATACGTTAAAACATATTGGAAAATTTGTGTCGACGCTCTACAAGATTCCGCAAATAGAATTGAGATTTACTACAAATAGAATAAAGATTTTAAAATTCAGTCTAATCCAATTAGAGCTGCGTGCTATATTAACCTTTCGTTCAATGCGATTAATATCTGAAGCTATATTATTTTTGTATTCAGCCATTAATATTGGTTCTAAATATCTACAATATACACTATCCCCGAAAAATTTCCGAACAGTAGAAAAATTTTTATGTTTAAAGTTTCAAGCCATTGAACTTACAATTAGTGCAGCACTGTGCTAAATCAAAGATCAGATAATTTTATCATTTTAAGAAATACTTTAAAATACTTTATATCAATTTTAAGTTTAATGCATTCCTGCCACTGTAAACTCTTAAATCTGAGAGCATGATTGCCATACTGAAAATTGCAATGTTCGACGGAATGCACAGATTTGGTAAAATTTTTCTCGGGAAGTGCCGTTTGCAGCGTCATAAAGCTCGAAACTTTCCTCTTTAATCCTATTTTAAAATTGTCACGTTACCTGCATTGAAGCCTCTTTTCTCCAATGTTTAAAAATTCATATCTTTCAGAAAAATAAAGATATCGACTTCTTTCTGGGCTCATCTTAAAGATGAATTATGTGGCTATTTTTAAAAAAATCGTGATTTTATTTAAAAATGGCCGATTCAATATGGCCGATTAAAACGTTATTTTTTTTAAATTTATTTTTTTTCAAAACGTGTTAAAATTTGTATAATTAAAATGTAAATTGGTATAAATGTTATTGGAAGATGTATGGGGTGTAATACGCAGCGCGCGCGAAGCGCGCGCCTGTATGTGCTAGTTTAAAAAAAAAAATGCAAATCGTTACGATTTTTTCGCAAAGTTACAGCATTTTAAAGTAACCCTTGTATTTTTCTCATGTAAAAAAAGAGAAAAAAGGGAAAAATACAATGGTTACTTTAAAATGCTGTAACTTTGCGAAAAAAATCGTAGCAACTTGCATTTTTTTCAAATTACAATTTTTTAAAAATTTTAGCAAGTCTGTGCATTTCGTCTAACATTGTAATTTTTAGTATGGCAAACATGCTCTCAGAATTCAGAGTTTACAGTAGTAGGGATGCATTAAACTTGAAATCGATACGGAATATCTTACAGTATCTCTTAAAATGATAAAATCGTCTAATCTTTGATTTAGCACAGCTTGCTGCACTAACAGTAAGTTTAACGATTTAAAATTTCAAACATAAAAATTTTGCTGCCCGGAAACTTTTCGGGGGTAGTGTATGTATATTACACTCTTACAAAATTTTAATTTTACATATTATTATTACGATGTTTATTACTAACTTTCTGCCGTGTATTCGATGGTAAACGCATGCTTGTGGGATTGGCTGTAGAGTAGAATTATAGATAGAGTTCTCGTGCTTGATCTGTACGTGATCGGTGCGTACAATCCACAGAAGGGTGAACCGGAAACCTCCTCGTAAGGTGGCTCCGAAAGCCAGACATAATCACATCTACAAAACGGATATATAGTTCCAATGTGAGTTTGCGGTTACCATGATATATGAAGTGCCATGCGAGTGATACTTATAAGCAGAGTTGGGTAAGTTAATATATTTTTTTAACTAAGTTAAGTTAAAATTAACAGTATAAAAATTTAACTTAGTTAAGATACAAGTTAGTCCATAATAAAATTAACTGAGTTAAAAGTTAAGTTAATAAAAAAAAAAGTAATTGAAAAGTTAAAGTTAAAGTTAATGTCACACAAGAACTTCCGTTGACACCTTATTGACT